AAAAGCGCTGATAATTATTTTTGGTGCTTTCGCTCACATCTAACGAAAATTTTAAAAACGCTAAAGAATTACATAAATATATCGAAAGAAAAGCCGTGAGAAGAGCACACATAGAGAGAGAGAGAGAGAGAGAGAGAGATTATCAGCAGTCGTCTCAACATATTCTCATTTTTCATAAACTTTCGATTTCTTCAAAAACTAATTATCGAAAGTTTTTAGTTCTTAAGAAAACTCATTATTGAAGACATGGAGTATATATTGTGACCATTTTTCATCTCTTCGTCACTATTTTTGTCCATTCAGTTGTTTTATTATAAATAAACTCTCCATTAAATTGATTGCTTTAATGTCTTATATAATTTGTTAGATATGTTGCTAAATAAATGTTTCACGTGTTATATTTCTTATCATATGTTTTGTTCAAAAACATGATTATCCAATAATCATAGCGTTTCTAAATATTGCTTTTGGTTTAATACACATTAATACAAATTGTATAAAATTCCACTCATTTTTTATCATCAATTATTATCTTTACATTAGAGTCGAAACCAGATATATTACATATAAAGACATTGGTTTGAGATTTATTTCTTCTGTAGTATCAATATTTGTTTATTGAATGCATACAAACATAAAGGTTAATAAGAATTGCAATAAAAAACTAAATTTATATAACATGTTACATAATAACAGAATCCAAACGAGTATCTCATGTGAATAAACATGAAGTTTTAATTATTGAATAAATGAATATTTTCTCTATGGGTTTGCCATAAAAGGAGTTTTTATCAAATAATTCATTGTATTCTTGAGATTCTCTCTCTCTCTCTCTCTCTCTCTCTCTCTCTCTCTCCACGACATGGAAGGGCGCCTACACTCTCCTTTGCCGTACTATTCTCTACACTCTCTGCTGTACACAACAGTGTAGGGAATAATTTTTCCCTAAGCTTTCATACATTAGATTCTGTTTTCAATTTTTGTGCTCACATTGTATTTCAACTATTTTTGGTCTGAAAAATTCAAGTCTCATAATAACTCTTAGAGAATTTGCTCCACTTTTCGCTCTCAGTTTTGGCTTCAAATGTATAGTTGTTTTGTTATTTGTTATACAATTTGACGAATAAATATGTAATGTATATCGTCTTAAAATTAAATTAAAAGACTCAAAGTTTCTCTCAAACTCTCTCTCACTCTCTTTGTGTTTATCATATCAGTTATGGAAATGAGTTATATTTTATTTTGATAAAAAGTCATGCGATTCTCTTACGTAAAGAATACTCAATCTATAATTATTGTAACAATCATTTTATGTGCAATCCATCAAAATTGTCTATAAATCGTAAGTCTCTCTCTCTCTCTCTCTCTCTCTCTCTCTCTCTCCACGACATGGAAGGGCGCCTACACTCTCCTTTGCCGTACTATTCTCTACACTCTCTGCTGTACACAACAGTGTAGGGAATGATTGCCATAGCGTTTGTTCAGTAGGAATATACTTGTATTGACTAAAATACACACTAACAGTGATGTAGAATATAGCAGAATATAGTGGGTCTGTATGTGCTGTATATAATTGCAAAAGTGGGTCAGCCATCGATTTTTCCCTAAGCTTTCATACATTAGATTCTGTTTTCAATTTTTGTGCTCACATTGTATTTCAACTATTTTTGGTCTGAAAAATTCAAGTCTCATAATAACTCTTAGAGAATTTGCTCCACTTTTCACAAAAATAATTATCAGCGCTTTTAAAGTGATTTGTATTTGTTGTTGAATTTTGTGTGTCTCTCTCTCTCTCTCTCTCTCTCTCTCTCTCTATTTGTATTAAAAATACATTCAGATTTTGATCTCATTCATGTATAAATATGGGAAACAACGAGTTTATTACAATTATTTGATAGTCTATTTGACATTTTGGTACATTTTTTTCTCTCTGTGTTGAATATATTTTGTTGTAATTTTTGCTGATTCTTCACATTTGAGATAAAAATATTTTAAAATTTTTTTGTCACAAAACAAAACCTCTAATAGAAAGAAATATATAGTTAGAGATTCAATAGTTATAAATAAACCCAAAGTCGCTGTAATTAATGCGATATTTTAAGCATAGTTTTTATCTTAAAATTTTTATCTCAAGCTTTTATATTCTTGAAACGAAAAATACTGAAAATGTTTTTGCAAACAAAAAATTCTTGAATATAATTAATTCACTCTCAATATTGTTAACTGATTTCGAAATAAATTTATTTGTCTATTTTAATAGTCAATGAAATATAATAAATGACTGACAAAAATATGTTTTTCTCTCCATTTCATTAAAACAGTACACCATTCGAGCCAATAGTACACAAAATTCAACAACAAATACAAATCACTTTAAAAGCGCTGATAATTATTTTTGGTGCTTTCGCTCACATCTAACGAAAATTTTAAAAACGCTAAAGAATTACATAAATATATCGAAAGAAAAGCCGTGAGAAGAGCACACATAGAGAGACAAGAATCGGCTCGCAATGCACGTCGAAATACAAGTGGCCCTCAATTTTCTCATTTCATTTTTGTACAACAAATTGCCGCGAAGACGGGTCAACCAGTTTGGCGAAGAGCTCGAGAATGCCCTCAAAATCAAGTTTGAGGGCCACTGGTATCCGGAGAAGCCGTACAAAGGGTCGGCGTATCGATGCGTGCGCTGCAGTCCGCCGCTCGACCCGACGGTCTTCGAGACGGCCGCCCGCGCGAGTGGTATGGATCTGAGCGACATTCAGGAGAATCTGCCCCAAGAGTTGAGCATTTGGGTCGATCCGGGAGAGGTCTCCTACAGGATGTCAGAGAAGGGACCCGTGAAGATACTGTACTCGGAAAAGGCCGACAACAACATCGACCGCCAGGAGAACGTGGACCGACCCGTCACCCGATCCTTCAACCCGGAGGCCCAGTGCTTCAAACCCATCGAGACGTCTCTCTCGCAACAGTTCAATGGCATGAATATAGCGAACGGCAATGCAATCAACAACACGTCGTTCGCCGCACCGCCGGAGGAGACGTCGCCGCCGGTCTTCAAGAGCAGCGTTTCTCCCATTTCGACATTTATGGTGAGTAAGACCTCAACGCCGGTGACGTTCACGACCGCCACATTCGCGGCCACAAAGTTCGGCTCAACCAAACTCAAGTCAAACAGCAAACGATCGCATCGCATGTCTCCCACGGAGTTCAGCAATTATATCAAACAGCGGGCGATTCAACAGCAGTCGAGCCAACAGTCGCCGGTCATCGGCAATGGTATGAACGGTAATAACATCTTCTCGAACGGCGGCACCGCATCCGTCTCTCCGCACAATTCACGGTCACTGTCGCCGAACTTGTCTCAAATGGACGCGTCGGCCGCCAACGGCTTTATGTTGATGTCCGGCAACTCTCCCACTTCGCCGAACCCGCCGTTCGCCGTCGGTTCCGGTCAACAAAGTCTGTACAACGGATCCAACGGCGCGTCGACGCCGTCGTCGAAACGGTCGGCGTTTATGAACGGACTCTTCGACAACAACTATCTCTCAGAATTGGTGGGAACGGGCGGCGACTTAACCAAAGCCAACCACAACCACAACAATCAACCCATTCATCCGATCGCCAAACAGGCGAATGGCATGAATCGGTTCACCTCTTTCCTGGACAAGAGTAACAGCCCATTCATCTCCACTCCCAACCCAATGACAGCCAACCAGTCCAACGGTGTGGTCGGCGGCGGATCCGCTGTCAATGGATTCGGCGGCGGATCTAATATAACGTTTGAGTCGCTGACTAACGACACGTCGGTATTAAACGGTACGTCCGGTTCCGCTAATAATTCTTCCAAATCTTTCGATAACATGAACTTCAATGTAAACGGCGTTTCCTATCCTAACCAATACCAACACTTACTCGTCGCTAATTGAGGGCCAAAAATCAACTCAAAATACTATATAATTACATATAATTATATATAATTCTTACAATAAATTCTTCAAAAAACTACACAACAGAATGCAAACTAATTTTAAACATTTTTTCAAAACCCAAACACAACCAAAATAAATAATATTGAGATTTTTAAATATTTTTCAAGTTAACAGAAGAATATATATATTAATTAATTGTTTTTTGGATTATTTGCGTTGATATCGGAAATTAATTTATTAAATTTGACAAAACAACAAAAGTATATGAACTCATATTTGACCGCTTCTTTTGGATATATAAAATGCTACAAAAAATACACATAAAAATTGTTAATTATATTATTATAAAAATACATAAATAATACATAACTACAAAAGACTTTAATTTTATATATGATTTTCCAACTACTGTTAGAAATCCTAACCGTCATAATTGAATTATCATTACAAAACAAAACTAGGTTTCCAATGGTGTGAATGTAATAATTGTTATATTAATAATTATATTATAGTTATATATATTATATATTGTATATTATATATGGATAGAGAGTGAGCGCAGCTTTTAATTCATTCATAAATTGTTTTATTTCTCAAATTTAATTATTATTATATATTATATATTATTTGTTTGTATTTATAGCAAAACGATTGACTTATTATTATTACTATTATTATTATTATTTAAATTTTTTAAAAGAGTTTTTCATTTTTGTAGTCGATTTTGAATTAAAAATTGAAAATAATAATTATTAATTGTTTTCTCTATTTGTTTAATTGTGATAATTAATTATTAAAAACAAAATAATTTTTTAAACATATATTTATTATTACTATTGATTGTTATTTTATAAGAAAAAACGACAAAACTATGATAATTAATAATAATCTTTATAAAAATCTGTTACAACTTTACATTTAAAATACATTATATCTTATATCCTTATTAATTATAGAGTACTTATGAAAAAAATCAAACAAAAAAAATATTAACATTTCTTTACACGTTTATCGTCTAAAACAAAACGATAAAATTTTTAATATATATATAAATATAATGGTTTTAAATCGTATGAGAGATTCACATAAAACAGATTATAAACTGAAGACAACCCGATATTACAGTAGGAATGAGACGGAAATTTTTTTATTAGTACAAAAAGCACACAACAAAATCAAATTGTTTGTTACCGATTTGCCGATTGAATATAACCGAGGTATTAACGATATATAAATACCCCGATGATAATATTTGCGAGTCTACCATTTCATACCCATTGATAAAAACACACAAAACACACGCAGACCTCGAGTCAATATCTCTGTCACATCCTTTGAATTCAATCTCTTTTTTATTATGAAAAAACAAATTCAATGTTTTATTATTATTACTCTATTATTGTATATGATATCAATTGATTGGCCACAATCCATGTGTCAATAATTAATGTTGGCTTTCAGTGCGAAAGACACAGAATATTAAACAAAACACAGAATATTCTGGCGATTCAGTTGTTGTACAGATTGAGAAAAAAGTGAGAGCAAAGTTGTAAACCTCGAGTACAAACACTACTTGTATTTACCGACAAAAAGATTGACATTAAAATACAAACCATAAGTAATTAAAGATAATTAAATGTGTAAATTATTAAATATTTCATTACAAAAAACACATCTCTTTTTAATTAGAGAAATATATATAAATTTTGTTATTATTACTATTTATATATTATTTTGGAATAAATTTGATTAAAAATACTTTAATACACAAACAAAAAATCTTTTAAAAAACTGATTTTATGCAAACAATTGGTACAGAGATTTTTGTATAAGTTTTTGTTGTTATGTAATTCTGATGTAATAAAAAGCTAAAGTGAAATAACAATGATATAACAGAAAAACCAAATGATTGTTACAAATATAACATAAAAACACAGAAAAACAGAGAGAAATTGATTGATTGGTGATAAATGTGTCGATGATATTGACAGTTGTGACTATACTCGCACATACACTGCCCATAAAACTGTTGATTTTTTACTACTATTTCGAAGTTATTATGAATTATTATTATAATTATTGATAAAATACAAAATACTTATTTGTTAATATTATATTTGAAAAAATTAAATGAAAAAACTTTGTATTATTCATTGAATTGATTGAATATTCAATATATAACTATTTGATGTATTAGTGAATTAACAGTGTTTTGAAGACAAACTGATAAATGAATAGTTTTGTTGCAAAACCAATGGTCTTTCTTTCCACAGACACAACAAAATACACAAAACATTAAATGGTATTAAAAAACATGTGTTTAATTATAAGACAATAAAAAATTAACCAAAGTTTCAGTACTTAATGATAGAATATATCAAAATAAATGTTACTTCAAATTGAGATCCAAATCCAAATCATAGCACAAAAAATATAATTACATTTTAAAATAAATACAATACAAAACAATATCACTTTAAATATGAATACAAAATAATTTTCAAACAAATTGTTGTTTTATTTTGGAGTTAAGAAATATTTAATTAATAGATTTTTGGATATATTATAAACCGATATATAATTATATTTTCTTAAGTGATGAACAGATATTTGTTGAAAGAAATTGTGTACCAAAATAGAAAAGGCATGATTGATATGATTGTTAATTAATTTTTATTATACCAGTAATTGTTGGAAATAAACACAAAAATGTTTCCTTTTATTATATTGAAAATATTGTAAAATTTTTTGGATTTTAGTCAAAATATAATTGTAAAAACTTATCTTTTTTAATCAGATAATAATATGTAATGTTATATAATATATATATAATTATAAATATTTAAATGAAAATATATATATAATTTATATATTATAATATCAGGTATTGATAGTAATTATGCTTTACTTTTATAAATTGTTAAAATTACTGATTTTGACATTAATTAATGTGCACTAAAATTAAGGCTAATATTGATTACCCTTAATATAAATCAAAGATCAAGACTAACTGCTGATTGTTTATGTAATGTTTGCCAATAAATCTTTAGACAATTATTATTATTATTATTATTGAATATTAATTATAAAGTCATAACAAAGTGTAGACAAACTTTTCGGATACATATATATAAATATTATTGAAATACATTGTAATTGAAAACAATTTCTTTTTACTTAAAAATTCGTTTAAAAATAATTAAATCAATTCAATAGTAGTAATGATAACAGAGATAAGTGTGTATGTAATTTAATTAATACTAATATTATATATATAATGTGTTATTATTATTATAATTATATTATATAATAGTAAAATTTTTATTGTAACTCATTTTTTAAGTTTTTAATAAAGGCTTAAGTATTTAATTATTTAATCATTAATTTATTCATTTTCTTAAACACAATATAAGAGACGGAAGAATAAAGGTTTGTAATAAAGTTGTCTCTAATCCGCTTAAATATGAAATTAATTTTTGTGATGTCGTTAAAAGCAATGCGAAAAATTATATTTGCATTTTATTACAAATTAGATTTTTGGTAAAAATAGATATTAATCAACAAAAATTCTCATTGCCCTCAAAATTCTTATCATAGATTTTAATGGCAACTCCGATGGGAAAACATTTTGGCAAAAATTGGATATTTTCCCCATTTTTATGTCAAAATCATTTACATAATTGATTCGTTGGACAAAAAAATTGAATAAAGCTTTTAAACAGGCATTCAATTAAGAATTTTGAGGCTTTAATAAATAATATTCTTTAGCACAGAATTATTCTGTTTTGAAGGTTTTTTGTAATCAAATTGTGAATGTTATATGAAATATAGTATCGATAAATTACATGATGGAAAATATTTATTGTATATATAAATATAAAATACTGTAAAGAATATTGTATTTTTCGTTCAAATAAATATATGTCAGGGATTTTAAATGTTTGTCATTCATTGTGGGGCACAATGTTATCAATGAATAGAAATCTCGTTTATGAAAAACATATGAAAATGTTAAGTGAAAAATGGACACAAAATTCTACAACATTATTGATTTTGGCCAAAAAATTTCTAATTAAAATCTCGGGAGAAAAACTAATTTATTATAAACAATACAAAACACAAACAATATTTTCCAATGAGATAATGAATGATCAGGGAAATAGGAATTGATATAAAGTTATAAAAATTGTGTTCAAATTGTGTTACACTAACCTAAATGTGTTGTGTATTTCGCTATACTATAAACTCCAACAGAATATTCTATAAATAGATCCGAAAATTCTATAAACCATTTACAGAGAGAGAGAGAGAGAGAGAATCTCAAGAATACAATGAATTATTTGATAAAAACTCCTTTTATGGCAAACCCATA